ATTAAGATACGTATGATGTCAGATATGACTGATCAACTCCAGTCCTAACAACGAATGGGAAGATTTCAGCTATCCATACAAATGAATTAGTTTAAGTAGATTTTAAAAAAATCTTTTTTCCAATTTATAAAATGATTTAACTAGAATGGATATTTAAATAAATAAATACCTAAAATATTTGTAAATTTGGTAGGGAACCATTCCTTTTTACTAATCCATAATACGTAGAGATCTATATTTGAATATATATATATATATATATATATATATATATATATATATATATATATATATATATATATATATATATATATATATATATATATATATATATATATATATATATATATATATATATATATATAAGATGATCATGTATGTGTATTGAATAAGATGTGTTGCAGTGAAGGATTGATTCCGTTCCATGCCACTTAATACCTTCTGTCATTCATTGCCGTTATTCATTGAGTTTCAATTAGATTATCTACTTGTGCTTACTTCACTAATCAAAGGGTTCATGGACTTGGACCACTCTTGCTTCCAACTGATCTAGTTTTCTTTTCCGAGACGAATGCTAAATGATATGATTTAAATTTAGGTTAGTTATTTTGAAATTTATCTGATACTGTATATGAAAACTGGTTATACTATGTGGTTTCTCAAATTGAGGTTAATAGGGAATGAATATTGAACGTATTACATAGTGCTTGAATCTCGCCCCCAAATGCTGTGGTACGCATGAGAGCTGGAAGGGCCCACTGTCCCTCTGCCTCTCTCTTGAAATGCTCCCATGTGTTTGGCCATGTGTACATAACCACTGTCAGGCTATCTTCTTGTAACAGCAGTGATTTTTATGAAATTCGGTGGCTAGCAAGCAATAGTATCCCGGACGCACATTTCATCCTATTTTAGGATTCGTCTTTAGTTACATGTACCTTTACAACATCTCATAGTTGATGTTCAGTTTGAGAACAGAATTCAGTATCGTTTTATTCAAATCCCATCGCGTTATCTACTTAAATACTGAATCCAGATAGCTATTTTTTTTTGTAAAACGGGTATGAGATTGAATTCAGTTTCAAATGATTTGAATTATCGCGTTATTTGGTATTATGATTGAAATTCATTCAGACTTAGTTGATACATGGACATTCCATCAAGATTGTCCTGATATATTGCCATTAAAACACTAGTTGACATGCTAAAGATGAAGGTATTGATTGACTGTTATACTACTTTTGAGTCCCGAAGTGGACACCACTTCCAGGATTCATGTACATCCAAATAATAATAATAATAATAATAATAATAATAATAATCGATGGTTATAGACCCTGAAAGACATGGCTCAAAACCGCTTGCAATGGTGCCGGTGCGTTTATTCTTTGTGTTCTCTCAAATCCTAATCTTATGGATTCTTCAACACCTCTAGTTTTGTCTTTCTAAACTTATCTCACTGCATCATACTTCTTGAATAATATCTTGTAATCCCAACCTCTCCGATTACTTCTAATACCTTTACTACCTCTACTACTATTGGATTTGAATTGACAATTACATCTCTGTGCTAATGTGGTATGGCAACATGAACTGATGTACTTACTTACGAAGTTCTACGTTGCATCTGACTGACTGACTGACATCAAAATAAAATAGGGTAAATACCAGTCATAAATATGAACGGGATCTACTAAACCATTTCAAAAATAGAATTTAACAATAAATGATTTGAGTTCTGATCATTACTATCCTTAGGTAGTAATGAATATACAATATATATTCATTTACACTCAGTACACTATTAATTATAGTTTACTTCTCTGACAGGATAGTTGAACATTTAACACTGAAAATTTTTCTTAAAAACACAAATGTTTCGTTTTGCTAGACTGGCATTTCGAGAAAAGACAAAATCATACTGTAAAATGATTGTTATTATTAGTATTATTATTATTATTATTACTGTCCCAAGTATGCCTATATCTATCTCATTATGTTCCGTAAGTGAAGTGTAATGCGCTGTGATTTAGTCAGCTACAACGTAGAACTTCGTACATAAGTACATAAGTTCGGGTTGCTAGATCGAATCAGCACAGAGACGCAATTGTCAGTTCATATCTGATTGTGGTAGCGATAGTAGAAGAATTAGCAGTAATGGAGAAGATTAGGGTTCGAACATATGATTCTAGATGTATAATTCAGTGAGATAAATTTAGAAAGGATAAACGTGATGAGGAATTTTAGAAGATTGGAATTTCAAAGAACATGAAGAATGGATGCAACTGTACCATTGCAAATAATTTTGATCCATATTATTCAAAGTCTCTAACCATCGGTTACGATTGTTTCGCCTACCCTAATTAGGCTTACTTACTTACTTACTTAGGCCTGTGACCCTCAATGGAGCGTGGGCCTCCCATCAGCATTCGTCAACCAACTCTGTACTGGGACTTCTTTCCTCATGACCTTTATTTCAGTGGGATTCACTTCTCGAATCATATCTTCGATTCTTAATCTTTTTTATTACCGCTAATATTTCTACTACCACTGTCTCCCTCTACTCCTAACAATAATAATAATAATAAAATTGATATGAAGAGATCAGCATCAACGTACTGTGGGAGAGAACAAACCAGATTCCAATGTAGGAGGAAAACAGGAAGAAGTGGTGGAAGTGGATAGGACACACACTATGAAAAGCACCTGACTGCGTCACAAGACAAGACCTCACATGGAACCCTCAAACCAGAAGGAAAAGAGGAAGGCCAAGGAACACATTACGCCGAGAAATAGAGAAAGATATGAGAGGAATGAGCAAACATTGGACAGAGCTGGAGAGGGAAGCCCAGGACAGAGTTGGTTGGAGAAAACTAGTGGGCGGCCTATGCTCGATTGGGGGTAACACAAGTAAGTAAATAAGTAAGTAAGTAATATGAAGAAAATCATTACGTTCGTTCAATCAAATTGAACACATACTTAAAATGTGAATATGTTACATGAAGCTGATGCATATAACGTAATTGCCATTTTAAGTGAGCACTGAATTTGATTGAACGAACTTGGTGATGTTTATTATTGATAAGTATTTATTATAGATATTATCAAGATTAATTTATTTGAGAATATTTTCATGAACATGAAATGTAATAAGACAATAATGAAAATGAGATTAACATTTTGTAATTTACAATTGTTGTTTAATGATTTCAAATAATTTTTAAAATCTTATAACTTTTTATAAAAAAAAATTTCTAAAGATTGTTGAAACATGAAATTAATAGTCTCTGACTTGTAATGGATCTCACTTCTTATGTAATAACAGTTTCATCATACAATTGTGGAGTTTCATTGAAATCATCGATCGATCAATGTTAGACCATTGTTCGAAAGAAAGCTGGAAGCACTAGACAGTTGTTTTGTCCTAGTGTAGGACTCATCAGAAGTGCGCATACACGATACAAACTAGCAAGGATCGAACCCAAAACGTTTGGTTTCTAATAGTGGTTTAACATTGATCGATTCATGATTTCAATAACAGTTTCAGTCAATGTTTCAGTAAGTATAACTGAAATAGTAAGCATTAACTGGATTGATCATAGTTACGATCATAATGATGACAGAATAATCAATAATAATGATAATAATAATAAACAATATTCTTAGTTATGTATAGCTATTTATCCATTCATTTCTTACGACATTTCAACAGAATCGATTGTGTGAAACATCACGAGAATTTCCACTAGCTATAGACGAGTAAAGTTATATTACTATTGAATAGCTTGTGACAGTCAAAACAAAACATAGCACTAATCTATGAAGTCACTAACAATTGGATTGAGTGAATAATATCGGCAGATGTAGACTACCTGGTTGAGATCCGCGAGACAATAGTAATCGGTGATTAGAGACTTTGAATGATTTGGCTCAAGTGTCGTTCTCAATGGTGTAGGTGCATCCACTCTTTATGTTCTCTCAGATCCCAACCTTCTGAATTCCTCACCTGTTTCTAAACATGTTTCACTGAGTTTCCCTTTTTGATTAATTTCTTCTTCTCCATTACTGTTAATATTCTTTCTATCTCTACCACAATGTTATTTGAATTGACAATTGCGCCTCTGTGTTAATGTGGTATGACAAACTGAACTGATGTACGAAATTCTACGTTTTATATGACTGAGTGACAATATTTATAGCTACTTATCCATTCATTTCTTATTAAATTTCAACAGGGTTGATTTTGTGAGACATCCCATGAATTTTCACTAACTAGAGATCAATGATCAATTCTTTTTTCAGCTTTAAAAACAAAACATTTTTTTGAACTAATTAAAAATTTGAACTGTTAAACTAAAGCAACTATTCTTTCTTCCAATGTACAAATCATTTTCAACATTGTAAAATAAACTTCAATAAATCCGCAAGGGGGTTCGCGAGACAAAAGTCACCAATGGTTAGAGACCTTGAACGACATGGCTCAGAATCGTTTGCAATGGCGCAGGTGCATCCACTCTTTGCGTTCTCTCTAATTCTAACCTTCTGAATTCCTCATCATCTCTATCTTTCTCCTTCTAAATTTATCTCACTGAATTATATCATATCTTTGCTCCTTAATCTTATCCATTGCTGCTAATAATTCTACTATCGCTATCACTGCTGGATTTGAACTGACAGTTACTTCACTGTGCTGATGTGGTATGTCAACCTGAACTGATGTACTTATGTACGAAGTTCTGCGTTGTGTCTGTCTCTCTGTCTATCCCCTCCTCAAGGGAGTATCAGTTCTTTTAAGACTAATAAGTGCCAATATAAGATCTAGTAGATCAAGCAGAATTTCTTGTCAACTACTTCCAACACACACACACCTCACATCTTAATATAATACACGCAATATCAACGAGCTATCTAGATTAATGAACAGACTACAAATTGATCGACAGATGATATTGATTAGTGTTCAATGATCAATTCATTGTAAATTTAACGAAAACAAGAAAATTTCACCTATTCAACTTACTTTTACGTTGTCTAGGGATTTTTGCCACTCCATTATTCCCTGTAGTACTTGATACTAGAGATGAACTAGAAGAAGATGCATGTAATGTATTCGGTAAATGTGGATAAGTAGTCATGGAACAATTCGATATTGGCGATTGTGCTGCTGCTGATGATGATGATGACGATATCGTTGAATTCATAATTGGACACAATATGGATGAACCAATTGGATTTGAATAATAACCAGGTATTGTTTCAGTAAGTAAAGTAATTCCATTCCAGTATGATTGTGGATCAGTGATTCTTCGACCTGATGATGATGATGACGACGACGACGAGGATGATGATGATGATGAGGAGGAGGAACAGGAGGAGGAAGATGATGATGATGATGACGAAGTAGAAGACGAAGCTGACGAGAAAGATGAAGTTGATGATGTTGGCATTAAAGCTACTAAGTCAGTAATTGCAGAATTATTATTATTATTATTATTGTTATTATTATAATTTCCAATAAATGTTTGTTGCATATCGGTTGTCTGTTGTTGTTGTTGTTGTTGTTGGGATTGTGGTTGCACAGATAATAATTGTGGTGAATTTGTGCTGACTGATTGCCAAATACTTGATAAATTTGATGTATTCGGTATATTCATTGTCAATTCTGTCAAGATACATTGATCACCCTCATCATAATCATCATCAGCAACATTATGATATTCTGTGTTTTTAATTTAACGAATAATTTAACAAGATATGTTCAGTATTCAATGGCTATTTTCAACCCATTCACAATTTAAGAAATAATTATGTTCCAATGTTCCGGTTCATTTGAAAATTACATTATATGAATGAATAAGCCTTGATACATTTATACTATTTGTGTTAATGTATAATGTACATGTAACAACAACATGGCGCTTTAATGGCGCTTAAATGATAAGATTAATAGTAATACTTCAGTTTTGGACATGTTTCATATATTGAGAGAAGTGATTATGGCTAGAATCAGGTCATGACCTAGCTTAATATCTATTCAACTATTTGTTGATTGGTTCAAATGCATATAAAACTAACTCATTTACAAAATTGTGCGGTTAATTTTTATTTTTTCAAAAAAAAAAATTATCTAATCTCTTTTCATTTATTCTATTTTTTTTTCACAAATGAAAAATTTATTATCTATAAAAACCACACTATTTATGTCACCCTTTCTAATGATTAGTATTACGAACAATTCTGTTCTCTGATTGGTTCATTTCTAAAGGGGTCAAATAGGGGTCAATAGAAGATAAATCAATAGGACAGGTGTGGCCTTATGTGAAAATTCTCAAATGAATTTGCATATAGGTTCAGATTAGATTGACAATTTTGTGATGATTTTTTGTTTTCCTGTGAAGAAGGGGACAGAATGGAATACTGTCGCTATGTGAAAATGATTAGCTTATAGTTGGTTAGATTGTTCTACAAAGTGAGAAACGATGGAGAGCTGTTTTGTTCCAGTGTGTAACTCCACAGCAATACACTTCCACATCAACTGCCTGACAATGATGCTTGATGATTTCTTGTTCTAAGGTGAGATCGTCTTCATTATTCGGTGGCATTTTAAGAGTATTAGAGAGGCGTTTTGCTTTGCTTGAAATTCTAAGCTTCATATCTGATGTTGACCATGCTGTTAATTAACTGCAACGGAATCAGAATCTAACTTTCACATTTCTGACTTCACCCGATTCATGACAAAATTATAGTGCATTGATATTTCAGTGTCATCAGTGACTTACTTTATCATTCAACAAAACAACTGTCCAACTGAAAAATGAACCTTTTCACTGTTGATCTTCAACAAAATCTCGAAATTGAATGATTCTATTCTCCAAATGATCTATCGCTAGATATTGATCAATGTTATCGCTGTCAGGTTCATTTCAGAGTTGATCCAATCCTATCCTGTCTATTCCCTAATCTACATGGCTCGATATCGTGTGTCTTATGTTGACATGTAAAAGAGCGTTCGGAGGTTGTCGAAAAAAAATTCAACAATCCTAAACTACCTGAAGTTTTGCAGTAGGTGTTTGAGATGTGAATTAATGAGATACAATTGAAAGTTTTGTTCAAGTTATGAATTGATCAATGCTGGAATACCATTAAAAACTTAAAATCGCTGAACGCCTATTACGTCCTGGTACGAAGTTCATTAACACTACACATGCATACCCCCCTGTAATCGGAGATCGAACTCAGGACATTTAGTTTCTCGTAGGAACGCTTAAATTTTTGATCACTAGCCCAGCATCCAGCGGTGTGGCTGAACCAAAACAGGACAAATCCATGAAGTCACTGACAACTGGGTTGAGTCATGTTGGTAAGTGTAGACTACCTGATGGTGGTTGAGGTCCACGGGATGACATTAATCGATGATTAGAGACCTTGAATCAGATAGCTCAAAATCGTTTGCAATGGCGCAGGTACATTCATTCTTTGTCCTCTCTCAAATCCCAAACTTTTTTAACTCTTCGTCACTTTATCTTTATCTTTTTGAGTCTATTTCACTTGAATTATATCTTCTAATCCTAACCTCTTCGACTATTGCTAATACCTTTACTACCTCTACTACTATTGGATTTGAATTGACAATTATATCTCTGTGCTTATGTGGTAGGGCAACATGAACTGACGTACGTACGAAGTTTTACGTTGCTACTGGTTGACGATTGATATCTGTTGTATCCTTACAATTTATCATTTAAAAAAGTGTGAATAAGTTAAGTGCGTTAATTACTTCAATGTCTTTAGAGTTTTGATCATCTGTGTCACAAACATTTAGTTGACCTATGACTAGTTATCCAATGTTTATCATGCAGTTGAGTTTATCTTTTTCATACAACTGGATAAATATTAGTTTTAGCAATGGGAAAAAAGTAAAAATTTTTCATTTAAAAAGTAGTTTACAAGTAATGTATTTATTTACTCATTTTTCTGGTCGGCGCATTTTTTAGCGAATTAGTTTTCGGCGGGATGAGGTAGCTAACCTTACGCCCAACCCTCCTCCTTTATCCAGACTTTGGACCGGCAGTAGCCCCAGAAGGATTCCAGGTGGAGTTTACAACTAACTAATCTACTGAAAATAGTAATAGTAATAATAATAAACTATCTTCAAGTTAAACAAATTTCTTGATCACCAATATAACTGCGTGCAATTCCATGATATCATGGACTCTATTGAAAGATCATGGCTTCTGATATAAAAGATACTTTAAATTTGATCTTACTGCAAAGATATTGCTAGATAACATAGTTGTTTAGTTCTTAAGCTTTCAAACACTAATACACCTCTCTTTGTTGTCAGTCAGAATACAATGAATTTTTAATTGAGTAAGTTCATGGGAAGTATGCTTTAAATAACTGACAGGAAGAGTAATCACAAGCACATAAATTATTTTAATTCAAACTGAATATTAATCCGTATTTATTTCCACGAGAAACGTACAAATTCTTAAGTGTTTTCTTATCCATGAAGTTCAAAATCTCTGACAATCAACGAGGAATGTGTTTTGTTTGTGTTTGTAAATTATTGCGAATTCTATGAGATTGGGAATATATGTCATCGCACCCCTGATAATTAATCTAAAATTATCGACCAATTTGGGTCCTCATTGCTGATGACTGCCATAGTAGGAAGAAAAATTTGTCAAGTGCTTCCAGATTTCTAATGGAGCTCTTAAATTGATGGAAAAGACAAAATAACTATCCAATACTCCTGGTTCTTCATCGCTTTTGGAATTATAAAAAAATACAGTGCCTTCAAGCTGAACCAAGTCATGTAATATCGCCAAAGGATTGAAGTTGAATTTGTACGCAATTGAATATCGACAAAGTGGCCTAGATCTTAAGCGTCCGCTAGCGAAATCGAATCTTGTATTCACTTTCGGTGTGTAGAGTAATGGATGCATACATTTAACGAGTGTCAATATGAAGACGAAACGAATGATTAATACTCATAGGTCTTCAATGTTTGTCTGGCTTACATCGGTTAGAGATATCAATAATCTTTTATCATTATAGAGTTATAGAGATTAGTGTTTATGATTGAAATCATAAATCAATCATTGTTAGACCACCAATAGGAACCTGAAAGCACTGGACAGCCGTTTTATTCTGATGAGGGACTCATCAGCAGTACCCATCCATGACTACCTCTATTTGTAGGATTCGAACTGAGGACCTTCGGTCTTACGCGCGAACGTCAAACTTCTGAACCACTGAATCTGCATCCAACGGCAGCAATGTCTAATTGTGATCAATCTAAGGTTACTGCTTACACCCGATAGGGTTCAACTCTACTGGTCAGAACTTCTTCCTAGAACTTCAAGAATTACTTCACAAAGCTAGTCAATAGTGAGCACCATATTATGTGATATTCATTATAGTGTCAAGTGAGATTGTCATTTATTTCAAAAAAGTAATAATCCTTTTTTTCTCCCTTATTCAGCTTTCATACAACAATAGTTGACCTTCTGTAACAACAACAACAACAACCATACAAACATCATCTGGTGATCAATCAATTTTTCAAACTATTTTTTTCCACAAACTTAAAAGTTCATTTCATTCTTTCATGCAAACATAATTTCCATTTTCTCATGTCCAATCTAACAAATATTCACAAAAGTTGTTCAGATTTTTCATTTCTTTGTCAATGGTTCATTTTGTCCTTGTTTTAATGAACAAAGGAAGTTGAAGCAATATTATCATCGTCATCCTCCTCCTCCTCATCATTGTCATCTGACCGACCTTGAAATCATTTTTTTCTGATCTTTTCGGTTTTTTCTTCTTCCCTCCCTCAATCTTGAATGTGAATCCGATCAAGTCAGTCGATCTGTATGTACATTTGTATGTGTCAATGTGTACGTGTGTATGCTGCACACTCGTATGTCTCTCTCACTCTCTCCCACTCCATTTGATGCCTGTGTGTGTGTATACATGTATCCACGTGTGTTTGCCTATGTCATCATCATCATCACCGTTATCTTCATCCATTAGTGTGCATAAATAATCTTTTGGCCTTTAATTCATATTTCAATCTAATGGCCAAATGTTGAACATTGAAAACCATGTCAACGATTTAAGAATTGTTCCAATTGGACTTATTTTCATTTTCTTAAGTGTAAGATTAGCAGAATTAAGACAAAGTTTATTAAATGTATATATATATTCATGACTAGATTCGTGAAGTAGTTCTAGGAGTTCTGGTAAAAAGTCTTGACCCGTGTAATTAAACTCTGTTGAGTGTAGGCAATAACAACCAAAGACTATGTGTGAGGTTGATCACCGTTGAATGCCGGTTGGATCAGTGGTCTAGATGTTAAGCATTCATACTCGAGATGGAAGGCCCAGGGTTCGAGGTCGTAAATGTGCACTGCTGAAGAGTCCCATACTAGGACGAAACGGACGTCTGGTGATTTTAAGTTTCTTCTGTTGGTCGAACACTAATCTATTCATGATTTTAGTGAAATTTATGAAAACCAAGACAAGGTTTTAACTCTACTTTTAATTACTATTTTTGGAGTTGCATACTTTCATTATATTTTTCACAATTAATTTTGTGTATCCTGGGACAACCGAGTAAGCAATGCTATCGTTAAGAAACGAGTTCTAG